TAATCAGACCCATCTAGACAAGATGAAAACTATTCAGTGAGGACGCTACATCCGCCCCCCACACCCCACTCTTAAACTAAACTCCTTCTTGAAACCTTGTAAGCCAGTCACTTCTTGCCTTTATCACCCCCTCATTTTAGGTAGCCAATGGCTAAGTTGCCTGTCTCTGTCTACCCTGTGTCCAGAGGGGATAATTGATACTTGATGTGAAGACTCCTTCCCCTTCTGTTAGTATTTTGAGCTACTACCTCCATGAGCATAGGTCAAGTTCATCAAAATGTAGCAATTTGCCATAGGTCTATACACTTTCAAAGGCAGTTTTTCCATTTCTCTAACCCTGCTCCAATAAGTTCTTCAAATGACACTAAATTAGAGGCAGTTTTAGCATTCTCAAGGAGCTCTGGTAGCGTAGTGGTTATGAATCAGGCTGCTAATCTCAAAGTCAGCAGTTCGAAATTACCAGCTGTTCCATGGGAGAAAGATGAGGCTTTCTTCTCCCGTAAGGATTTATAGCCTCGGAAACCCAAGAATTTCAAAGGGATAAGATCAGTGCTGTAGGGTGGATGGGGTAAGGTTTCCTGATGAAATTCTCATAGCCCTTGCGATCCTTGAAGAATAAGCAGGTACAGTGCTATGATGGTAAATTGGGAAAAAGTATTCCTCAGCACAACTTTCCTGGTCTTGTTCTTAACAATGCCTGTTTTAAATGTCTTAAAAGTTCTTTCTAATAAACCCATGATTGTCCTTCATCCTTGGAGAAAATCTATCAATGTTAGTCCTTTGGAATTCAAAACAAGCTGTTGCCATAACCTTCTAAATTGACCTATCTGGTTTTTTATTTAACTGCGAAACACATCCCCTTGGAAGCTAGTGTTTTGCTGTTTTGATTGAATTTATCTCTGTTTTTGTTTTGTTTTTAATGTTTTATTGTGAATTATATGGTAGTTTACATGAGGGAACTTTAATTTTACATTCATTCCATCATATATCATCTCATTGCCATGGTT